TAAGTGAAACTTGAGCAAAAGAGACCTCAATGCCCGCTCCCACAGTGGCACATTTTTTTTACAACGAAGCCACACCTCCTAATAGTATCAAAGGCCCACAGGAAGGCACAGACCCAACCTGGCAGAAACTCCGGAGGGACTGAACTGCCTGTGTGGTTGACAGATCTCACTGGTTTTGTTCTGACTGTCACTGTAATTTCTCATTTACCTGCTGGAGCTTGACACTCCATGGCCAAAGTGACCCGAGGAGTCAATGCAGCTAAAATGCTTGCTTTAAACTTGGCTCGCTCTGTGGATTAGTTGTCTTGGGTGGGAACAGTGTTTCACTTTGTAGCTCAGGCCTGCCTAAAGTTTACCATGTAGTCCAGGCTGGACCAATGCAGGAGCCTCCATCCTCAGCCTCCCAAGTGCTGGGATCACAGGCCACATCAGACATTTTTCAGAACATGAACTCGATCCTCTCTGTGCGACCATATGGTCTAGAGCAGGCTGCACAGCCCTCCTGTTTCTGTTTTGCCCTTTGTGAAATGAGTAAAGAATGAGCTGTATGACAAGCTCACTGGAGACTTAACAGAAGTCACTTCAGCCTCGTGTCTGCCACCTCAGGTAGTGTCTTGTTCACACACACACACATACATGCACACATGCACACCCTTGTTGTTTTGAGTCAGAGTTTCTCTTTTCTTCTTTCTTTTTTGTTTTTGCTTTTCAAGACAGGGTTTCTCTGTAGCTTTGGAGCCTGTCCTGGAACTAGCTCTTGTAGACCAGGCTGGCCACAAACTCACAGAGATCTACCTATCTCTAGGATTAAAAGCATGCACCACCACCGCCCAACCAAGTCAGAATTTCATGTAGGCCAGGTTGGCCTTAAACTCAATCCTGACCTCTAATACTCACTCGGAAAGTGCTGGAATCACAGGTATGTACCTCTATACCTATTTTATACATTTCTGGTGATCAAACTCAGGACCACCTACATCCCAGGTAAACATTTTACCAACTAAGATACACCTTCAGCCCCTCAGGGATTTGGGGGTGTTGTTTTGTTTTGTTTGTGTGAATAGCAGAGGACAACTTAGAGTTAATTCTCTCCTACCATGTGGGTCCCTGAGATTGAACATAGGCGCAGCCTTGGCAGTAGAGGCCTGGACCAGCTCAGCTTTTTCAATGGCCTTGATACCATTATTAACAATCATGCAGGCAGTGGAATTAGTTCACCTGAGTTAAGCTACTTATTAAAGAATATAGAGCAAGCCACAGTTCAAGCAGAGAAGTTGACTTCAGAGCTCCCATTTTCTAAGCCACCAGCCCAAATGTTAGGCTTTCTTCCAGGCAAACTGGAAGATAAGAGAGCTACAGACCTATCTGACTGTGTATTGTACTGCTCAACAAACAATATACCGCTATCAGACAATGCCTGGCAACAGAATGCAAGGTAATTAATTTTCCAAGGGTTTCCTAACTTCCAAAGAGCACAGGGAGACATAACATCAGACTTATGGGTCATGTAAATGCATTTAATTTGTAAAACTTGATTATCACTTTGGCCTCTGACGTAGGTTTCTAAATCAGTCCTCCTAAATTAACAGTGAGTAATCTGTTGTTCCTTGAAGTAACAAGAGACGTCAGAGTGTTGCTTATGACTTGCTTATCACGGAAACCATCCAGGCCACTCAGGAAAGTTAAAATGCTGACCTACATCCAGTGACACACACAGCACTGAAAGAAAACAGGACAGCTTTAATTTCCCATACTTGGCACTGAAACCAGGCTCTGGTCTCCTCTGTTTGCCATGCAGGCTGTCTATAGGTAGATGTGGAGCTGGCTGATGGCTCGTGCTGGGTTGCAGAAACTTGTTACACTGAAATTCCATACAACCCTGTTGATCTGGCTCTACATTTTGTATAAATAAATACATAATAAAAGTATTCCTTATCCAAGGTGAAAACCAATCCAAGTAAAGGAATTACATTCATAAAATAAAGGAAAACTGTTGGTGTATGCTTTTAATCCTAGCTTTTGGAAGGCAGAGGCAGTCAGATCCCTAAGTTCCAGGCCAGCCTGGTCTACAGAGTGAGTTCTTGGACAGCCTGGGCTACACAGAGAAACCCTGTCTCAAAACACCCCCCCCAAAAAAGGATACTCTTTTTACATATTCATTTCAGAAGGAACAGTATACAGTATATAAGCTGAACTTTATTTATACCTGGCAAAGTAATTTTTATCAATATTTACTATTACATATTTGCTATCAATACTATCAATGTTGGTGGTTTGTGTGTGTGTGTGTGTACACATGCATGTGTGTATGCCAGAGTGCTTGTGTGTGTACACTCATATGTGTATATCATAGTGCATGTATGGAGAAGACAACTTGTGGGAGTCAGTTCTGTTACCTATAACACATACACATGCATGTGCGTGCACACACACAATCTCTACAGCTCAGGTTGCCCACACTGGTCTCCACCTCACTACGTAGCCAAGAATGACCCTGACCTCCGATTCTCCTGTTGCCGTCTCCCAGGTACTGATCACACCTGCAATTTTATACCTGTCAGAGACTTCCTGGCTCTGTTTGTTTGTTTGTTTGTGTGTTTTTTGGTTGGATGGCTGTTTGCAGTGCTGAGGCTTCAATGTGGGACTTGCCCATACTAAGCAATGTTCTACCTCTCAGATGCACATCCTGCCCTCACGTTTCAAATGTAAACATTTTACTCAAAATGTGTATGTTTTTGATTTCTATAGAATAGGGAATACTCTAGTGTTCTTTTAGAAATAAAAATCTGCATTAAGATTCCCCCACCCCCATCAACAGGGTCTTGCTATATAGTCCAGGCTGGTCTTAACTTCTGAGACTGCCCTGTTTTATGTTGCTATAGCAAAATATCAAAGGATAGATAATTCATAATGAATAGAAATTTATTGACTCAATAGTTCTAGAGGTTGGGAAGCCTGAGATGGAGGGGCTGGCATCTAACAATGACACTCTTGCCATGAGATCTCCTAATAGAATAAGGAGCTCTGGAGAATAAGAGGAAGGGGGTGGGGGACCTGAATGTGCTCTTTTAGAAGGAACCCGTTCCCTCCATAAGGGCATTCATCCAGTCACTTGACCGCATGATCTAATCACCTCTCATTAGACCCCTCCTCCTACTACTGCTTCATCAGGGCTTAAGCATTCAAACCACAGCTCTCATTAACTGATTTTCCCCTCTCTCAATTACTATTGGTCACATTTACTTACGTGACTACATTAGACTTCTATTAGAGGCCAGTGATTTTAGGCTTACCTATTATCTATTTCTGAGTGACTTACCATTGTCTATAAATTCATTTACTCCTTTCTATTGACACAAAAGCAAGTAGGTTTGAATCAATGGATCAGAATGATCTAAGTGTGAAGGTAATTATGATTTTAACCTTAGGGCTTTCTATTTAATAATATTTTCTCTGGCACTACCTCTGGATTTCTGTATGAGTAACTTGACTTGGCAAAATAACCAAATCCCAAACCTCAAACATAATTAAGAACGCTGTTCTCATTAGATAGCTATCAGCCTGTTAGTTCTTCTCTACTATGTTGTCTATTCCAATGTAGAACAAGTTTCAAGTTTCTATTGTGTTCATTAAAAGGCAACATTATTCTTTCAATCTGAATATACATGTACTCATTACATGGCTACATAGTTTCAATTAATGTTGCTGAATCCTTCCTGGTGTAAATGCTGGGTTAGGCCCTAGTTCAGTACCCTACACCAGGAGAGGTCAACTTTCCCGACTTCAGCTGTTCATCCCTTGAACCTCGGCAACCTCTGCCCTCCCACTTCACTGAAATTGTGCAATGGAAAGTCTCAAATCACTTCTCAGACCCCTTTCTCCACTAATGACTGTACTTGGTTCTCAAGTGCTCTCCCTGTCAAGACTCAAGTCTTTTTTCTTCCCACCTTTGTAGTATTTTTTAGAATGGGGATAACTTTTTAAAAACACTTTTGTGCTTACTTTATTATTTATTTTTATTTCATGAGCATTGTTGTTTGCCTGCATGTATGTCTGTGTGAGGGTGTTGGATTCCTCTGGAACTGGAGTTACAGACAGTTCAGGGCTGCCATGTGGGTGCTGGGAATTGAACCTGGGTCCTCTGGAAGAGCAGTCAATACTCTTAACTGCTAAATCATCACTCCAACCTCAAAATTGTCTTTCCCAATGCCTATGTGATAAAAATCCAAACTGTATGAGGTTAGAACTTATCAATATTATTCTATTTGCTAACACTAGAGGCCCCTTTTCAACCTGTTTCAGGGATATGACAACTCATTCCATATGGGGGCGCACACCCTGATCGTAAGTGGCTTGAGTTTTCACTATTCTAATTCTGTTTCTTGGCCTTCTCTGCCATGTCCCTTCTCGCTAGTGTTTCTCTAGGTGGTCATCTTCCATCTTCCTAAGCACTGAAACACTTAAGTTGTGTCTATACTAATGACTCCCAAGCTTGCATGTGAAAGGCTCTGTCTCCCCATTTCCAGGACACTACATGAATCAAGGTTTCTTTCCTTTGCCAGAGGATTGCCCATCATCCAGGCTGGACCAGAGCTGATCTTAAATTTATGGCAATCTTTGTTTTTTAACCGTCCTGGTGCTAGGATTACAGGCATGTGCCCCCACATCTGGTTTTTTGGTTTGTCTGTTTGTTTTTAGGGGGTGGGTGGGAATCACTGTTGTTCTGAGACAAGGTTTTACTGTATAGACCTGGCTGGCCTGGAGCTTGCCTCCTGCCTCCCCAGGGCTAGGTTTCTGCCAAACTGTCTATCATTTGTAATCCACTGAGTAATCTTTGGAATCATCTTTTTCCCTGGATATTGTGGTATGCTCCTGTAATCCCATCATTGGGGAAGTGGAGGTTGAGGACCATGACACTGTAAGTATGTTAGTCATAATATTGCCCCTATTTAAAATGCTTCTAGAATGAAGGCCGGGTTCTGATCCATTCCTGATCTCACCTTAATAGATCTTTTCATTCTCCTTCGCAACCAAGCCTCTAAAGTGGAGGCAGAAGGGCCACTCGCAGTTCTCCAACCTACTGTTTCGCCTCACCCCTCTCCTCTGCCAGAACACTGGCTCTCAGAATCCTGCTTCCCTGGAACATAAGCCATAGGAGTCACTCGGAACTGTTTCCTAGGAAACTCTTTCAGTTAGCTGCAGTTATTTCTTCCTGCTTCTTAGGTCCTTGCAACACTTGCCTTGATATCTGCCAACAATTTGGTTGTTTTATACATGTTCCACTTCTGCTCGAGTGTAAGAAAGTATCAAATGGTGTGTTCAGGGGGAGGAGCCTCCTTGGGAAGTTGCTGTGTTCTGAAAGGACCTGAAGTTACCAAAAGTGCAGGAGGCTGAGCATGGTGGCTCATCACCTCGAATCCCAGTACTCTAGAGGTTAAGTCAGAATGGACATGAATTCAAGGCCAGCATGGGCGACATATTAGCATCCTGTCTCAAAAAAGGAAAAGGGGAGGGAGGAAAGAGAAAGCTATGTCAAGAAAAATGGGGAAAAACAAACTCAGGAATTGAGCCCACAGCTCCCAACTCCCACCTAATGCTCTCCACCTCTGAAACGCTCTGGCTTTACCAGATCTGCCGGAGCTTTCTTCCTTTCCATTCTGATGACTTGTTAATCACTGTGCCGCTTACACGATAAATGAAGTGAAAGAAAGGTTCTAACAGAACTTAACCTTGGAGTGGCATCACAGACACGGCACAGGCCTGTAATCTCAGTCCTAGAGTCGAGGAAAGAGACTGGTTAAACCGGAGGTCAGCTTAAGCTACATACTACAACGCTGCCTGCCCATCCGCTCCCATTCATTTGTGCTGAGTCTGGAGTTGCGAAGCTTTAGCAGGAGAGGACTGACAGCTAGGGCTAAAATAGCCTTTGTTTTGTTTTGCTTTTTTGAGACAGGGTCTCACTATGTAGTTCAGGCTGTCCTGGAACTTAGGCTGGACTTGAACTCAGAGATGCACCATCTTCTGCTTTCCAAGGGCGGGGATTCACTCCACACTTCCATCTAGGAAATGGCTTTTATTTTGTTCTCCCCCTCCCACAAGCCACAGATGAGGACCGAACCCAGGGCCTTGTGCTTGCCTATCACTGAGCTAGACCCTTAACCCCAGGAAATGGCTTTCAAACGCGAGAGAAGGGGGGAAATTTAAAAAAAAAAAAAGACTTAAAAGTTACATAGGGCAACATGATTTGGTAATAAGATTTATTAAAGAATAGAAAAAACAGGTGTGTTAAAAGTTACATAGGGCATCATGATTTGGTAATAAGATTTATTAAAGAATAGAAAAAACAGGTGTGGCACATGCCTTTAGTCCCAGCACTGGGAAGGTAGAGGCAGTGGGAAATCGACTTCAAGACTAATCTGATCTACAGAGCGCGGTCCAGGACAGCAACGGCTACAGAGA